ACTTCCAAAGAATTTTACTGCAAAAAAATATTTGCAAATTTCAGGTAACAAAAGCACATACATATATATATATATATATATATATATATATATATATATATATATATATATATATATATATATATATATATATATATATATATATATATATATATATATATATATGTATATATATACATATATATATATATATATATATATATATATATATATATATATATATATATATATATTAATAAATTAATATATATATATATTAATATATATATATTAATATAAATATATATTTATATTTATATATATATATACACAAATATATATTATATGTGTGTGTACAGTATTAAACACACATAGTGTGTATTATTGCACACACATATACATATATATGTGTATGTATTTATGTATGGTATGTATGTATGTATATGTATACATATATATATATATATATATATATATATATATATATATATATATATATATATATATATATATATATATATATATATATATATATATATATACATATATATACATATATATATAAGAGATCTTTAGATCTTTTAAAAATTTTTTTATAATATTATTAGATATAATTATTAGATATAAATCGAAAAGATCTTTACGCGAGTGATGCTATACCACCTCGTTTGTATGACGTCGTAAAAGCCTACTAGCCTGAAAAAAACTACTCGATGCGAGTAATCGTAAGCACTATTGGAATGACTACATACAAAATTTCGAAATTCTTAACTGATATGATACAAACCATCCTCTATAAAAACAATACACATTTAAAAAACTCTCAACAATTTATAAACTTAGCTAATTCATGGAATATTTAAAAAAATGAAATCCAAGTGTCCTTTGATATCATTAATTTAAATCATTCGGTCCCAGTAAAGTAGCAATAATTGTCCTTATTGAGAGAAAATGATCCTTACATTAAATTTACGTTTGATGAAATAAAAGTACTTTTAGATTTATGCCTTTCGCATTATTATTTTTTATATGCACACGAAGTTTATAAAATAGAAGATTCTGTACCTATTATTTTAGGACTTATGGTAGATGTTGCGGAGTGTTTTTTACAGTTTCACGGAAGTAATGCTATTATAGTTTCCAATAAAATTCATTATTAACAGTAAAACTGGTACGGATGATTTCAAAGTTTACCGTAGAGATGCCATAATTAACGTCCAAATTAAACCTAACTCATGCCTTGCTTCCAAAACTATAAACGGAGTTTTCAAAGGATTTGTTCATAGGGCATATTATAAATGCTCTGATAATAATATCGAACAAGAGTTGTTATTTCTAATTGATAGTTTTGTAAAAATGGTTATAAAAAAACAAGCCTGGAAAATTACTATTAAAACCACTAAAGAAAATTTACTTAACAAAAAACAAAATATTAAAATTCAATATCTAATTCATCAAAAATATTGTATCTCTACCGTGGATTCCAGGAATTAGCCTGAAATTAGGAAAAGTTTTTAAAAAAGCAGGTTATACATCAGTCTTTAACAATATCACCATATAATAAATCACTAAAAATTTTATAACATATACTTACCATAAAAATTAAACCCCTTTTTATTTTATAAATTCTTGCCCAGGTGTGTACAAACTTGAATGCTCCTGCAAAAATTGTTATATCGGTGAAACAATATTAAAAATCTCATCTCGCATTTACTAACATCAGAAAAATACATACAAAGGAAAATGGGATTATTCAGCAATAGTGGAGCATTCAAAATATTGTCATGATAATTTTACAAGGAACAATAAATATACTTGAATAGTAACAGAAAAGTGAGCGAGGTATTTTAAATAAAATTTAAAAATTTAAATAAAATTTTAACGCCATGAATGAACGCCAGACGGTCTGAATCAGGATGACGTCACAACTTCCTTTTGAAAACCTATGTTTCGGCATTTGAATCAAAAGAAACTAATGCATTGATTTGTTTATTGTTTTAGTTTTGTTTTTTAACGGTTTTTTATATCTACAATATAATTGCTAGAAGTCAATGTTCAATGTTCAATGCCGTTAGTTACTATTGTTCAATATTAGTAACGGTTCTGTATTCTGTAAAATACTCTAATGCAAACAGTTTTGAAACTTTTGAAATTACACAAGGCAAGCTTTTATATTTAATAAGGAGATTAAGCTGTATTTATTTTTTAAATGTTTGTATCAGATTTGTTGTGTGTTGATGCCCTAACGATTTTTTATTTTTATTTATTATTTGTTTGTTACAATTGACTTTGTTTCACGCAAACTTTTATGGCTTTTCAATAAATATTTTATTTAAAGTAACTTATAGGATATAAATTAATTTTGTTCATAAATATAAACTTGATATTGTGTTTTTGTTTATTTTATTTTATGATATTGTAGTTTGTTTATTTGCAGCAAACATTTGCTTACATTTTTATTTATGTTTATTTTGTTTAGTTATTAAGATGCTAAAAATACTAGCAGTAAGCATTTTCTACCATTTCTATTTATAAATTGTTTATTTATTTAGACTTAAACTTAAAGAAAATTTTCCAGAGTTGTGATAAATCATAATTCAGTTGTTAAACAGATGAAATTGTAGAGGTTTCTATTATATATATAAATATGTAAAGAAAGATTTGTCAACCTAGCCAGCCAAGTCACTTACTGCAAAGGGTTACAAAGCAGTGTTTCGTGTCAAACTGTTACTGCTTTAGGTATAGGTGTTTTCAAGCCTTTATTAATAATTACTCTGAAAATACATAATGTATTTTAATAACATTTTGCGTAATGTTGTTACTGATGTTCTGTTATATATGAATGTTATGTTTCTTGAGTTGTGTTAAATGCATATTATATGAGCTTATGGTGAATGCTATTGTTGTTGTGATGTTGTTTTTTTGTAATCTTTTGAGTTGATATACATTTGGTTTACCTTCAAGTTGTTGTCTACTGTTAAAAATGATACATAGTTAATTTCATTATTAGACCTTACTGCATTTAATCATTCACTAAAATTAATATTTAGATTCACTAAAAGCCTACTACTACTACTCTGGTAAATCACATCAGATTTATCAGGTACAATGATTTCTTTTTTTTGTATGTAATTTTTTTCTTATTTACTTATTTGTTACATTTTTTATTTATCAAATAATGTATTTATGTGGTATAGAAGAACAAAATATTAAGTTTTGTGAATTTTTAAAAAATTTTTACTTATATTTTTTCATTTCCTATGTAATGTTTTAAAAATTATTCTTTGTGTGTGTGCAATTTAGAGAAGTAAAAAAAAAAAAATCACAAACTTCAAGATTCTTTCCAGATTTTTTGTTACTACTATCAATTAAAAGTAAAGTTTAAATGGATGATATAAGGCTAGAAGTGGCTATTAGTTTAGAAAATGATGGAAATGTTAATAAGCAAGTTGAAAATAATCGTCGCAGAAATGCAAAATTGGCTGAGGCGAGATGAAATTAATAATCAACAAAATGCTAGATATGCTGCACGGCAAGCTGCAAATAATTTGAATTAAAATGAGGATAGTGTGATTAGGCAAGTTGAAAATAGTCGTCACAGAAATGCAAGAAATAGGCTGAGGCAGGATGAAATTAATAATCAACCAAATGCTAGATATCCTGCTCGGCAAGCAGCAAATACTTTGAACTGAAATAGGGAGAAAAAAGGGCACGATAGACGTCACTATAATCTCCCTTCACATAATGAAGTTGCAGTTGTATTTTTTGGTGAAGATGGTGCTCCACCTACTTCCAGTGAAGTTGTTATTTTCCCAAGAGGTCATCCTTTTAAAATATATCAAGTATGTCTGCCAAATTTTAGAGCCTATGGTTTGTTCTCTATTTTTTCTAAGGGTTGATGCTGGTTGGCATAATCAATTGGTTCACAACCCTGAACGTGCTACAATCAAATTGGTTCACAACCCTGAACATTGATTAGAAATCATGTTACATTATCTCATTATTATAGTTATAGACTTTTAGTTGGACAATTAACCTAAACAAAAAAAAATAGGTGAAGTGATTTTTAGTAACTTCAGATCACTTTGTTGTTATTTTTTTATTACTATAAGAAGGGTTAATAATAAAAGTTTTTTTGGCAGTAGAACTGGTACTGATTTTAGTAAGTTTGCTATATTTTTTTATTTAACATTTTCATTAGATTTAATAGGTTTAATAGGTTTTTTTTAATTACTTTGGAGTAAAATATATTGAGTGATATTACTTCATTTTTTACACTTTTAGATTATGTATTGTTGTCTAGATTCTTTGTTAAATTACAATTTATTGATGTAAATGAATTTTTATTTTTATTTTTGATAGACAACTTTTATCGAAAAATAAAAATAAAAATTTATTTACATCAATAAGAAGGCGTGAACTTCCTATTAAATGCTTATCCACGGTGCTCTGTGATAAGACCTTAAGGACTTCTTGGAGCACCTAAAATAAAATTTAAAAAAAAGTTGTTGAAATATAAGAAATGCTGCTCGGCGAGCAGAAAACTTACTTGCCAGAATTCAGTGTCAAGCCGTGTTAATGTGTGTTTATTTGATTTTATTTTAAACACTTTAAAACAATTTAAATCAAATAGTTTATTTAAATTTAAATGATTTTAAATTTTTTTATAAATTCAAACGTAATTATGTTCTTTTTTTTTAGTTGCCTTTGTTATCACTTGATTAGTTTGCTTACTGTTGAAACATGGTTTTAATTTTGTAAATTTAATGAAATGAAATTTACTCTATTAATCATAAGTTGACAGTTAAAGAGAAGCTAGAACTTTACATAATAAAGGTAAAAATAATTTTGTTTACTCTTAGATAAGAGTTAAAAGAGAATTAGTACATGGAGCATCAATAAAACTTATATAATTACTTTTTAGTTAAAATAAAAGTAGTTATATAAGTTTTATTAATGCCACAATTGATAATGACCATGTATATAAAAAATTTTATGAGCTGCTTGGTATTTTATGATAAAATTGTTCAATATTGTAATCAATAAAATCTTTTTAGCTCAAGTATTTTAGTTGATAAAATATCTTAATTTATGGTGTTATACGTTATTACGTTATTTACTACGTTAAGTTGTCTAGCCTTTATATAATCTTTCTTTTTTAATCATTTTGGAGAGACAGTAATGTGTGCTTACAAATATCTTATGCTATGCGATATTGTTAATGTGTTTTGTGTTGATAGAACTGGGCTATTACAGCAATTTTTTTAAGTCTTGATATCTTCATTCTACCAACAATAAAATGCAAATAATACTTTGTAATTAAAAATTGTAATTATTTTTCGTTCCTTTTTTTTGAAGGTTTTACTTGACTTTCTTTTTATGGTACCTGCTGTGTTGTAACAGATTTTAAAAAGAACTTAACTGATGATAACGTAGTCTTTTTTGCTGTTAACTGTAAGCAATTATTTAATTACTAATAAACCGTATTACGGGTTGCTTACTGCTAGTTTACATTATACTTGATTACGAGGTATCAATAGTACTCTAAAGTTTTGTGAAAAAAAAAAAAAATAATTTCAAAAATAAGAGTTCATAGTATACAATAGCAATAGTAGAAATTTTTATTTAATTAAAATCTATATATTATCTGTATTATTTATCTATATATTATTATTATAAGATATTCATAACCAAG